TATTCTCTCACAGCAATCTGATTGATGAAAGTGAGATTTCAGTAAATGTCCAGACTGGACTTTCCCCCAACCATTGATAAAGGACCAAAACACTGGACCCCATAGCCAAGTATGGGTGAACTTGCCGAAGAGCTGACACCATCTATTAAGAGGGGGACTTGTATGAAATTAAGCAACTTGAATTAAAGCACATTTTCTTTGTGACTGAACTAATGATGACAATCATGGAAGAGCCCAGAAGCAGTGGACTTCAGTTCTTCCTATGCTTTTCCTGTTTCCTCTGGTTGAATGAAAGTGGCGTAAGATCAAACTTTTTTTTTCCTTGGGTTTCTTGAAATAAGTAAAAAGTCTAAGATTCATTAATTAGATTTTCTGGATGTTTAACAGAGCAAACATTACATTTCTTCTGGGACATTTTTGTTTGGGTGGCGATAGGGGGACTCAGGAAAAAGAGTTGTTGGTCTTCTGGGACCTTTAGCTAAATGAGCTATCCTACCTGTTCTGGTGGTTGTGTTGTGACAGTGGTTAATTAGAACTATGAAGACACTGACATGGCCAAGATGTTCCAGGTGGTTGGTACCCAATGCTTGGATTTAGAGAATGGCATCAGTGACCACAGGAAAAATGGGCTGTGAGTCCCTAAGCCCATTCTTCTGGATTTGGATTCCTTCCCAGCTCCTAATACAGAGATAGGTGGGCTCAGTGAGACACTGGAGGCGGGCTGAGGGGTAGGGGTAGGGGTGGGTGGAGGGTGTCTATATACATCTACAGTGATGGTGGTAATAATAATAAGTATTATATTAATTTTTTTTCAGTTTTTACAGATTATCTCTCCCCATCCTTGCAATGACCCTGCACTCTTATTCTTCTTATTTTGCAGATCTGGAAGCTAAGGCTCAGGGAGGTATAGTGATTCCCCTTTGTCACACGGAGCAATAGGCTTCTCAGAAGCTGGTGTCTTTGCTCTTAGCTTATACTGTGTCTTTGAAAACATAAGCTTATGTTTTCTGAGAGGAAAAAAAGATTTGAAGTTGTATTGGTAGCAAATAGTATTCTCTTCAGTAGAAGAAAGGTTGTCACAATCTTTTCCAGGTTCTGCCTCATTTTAGGTTCAAACTGGAGGTAGAACGGGCTTCAGAGGATGACACGTTCCCATCAGATAAGAACAGGGTCTGGGATCTACTCAGAAAGGCTCTCATCATCCTGATGAACAAATGCCTTTTCTGACCAAATCTTCTGTCAGATGAGAATGGGATTTGGGGCAATTTATGGAATTTTTTAGATAAGTAAGAATTTAGCTACCATCATTCACATATTCTTAGTGATTCCCTAAAGATTTTCCCCTCCTTATAATTTTTTTTAAAAAGAGAGATAAGCTTGTGAGACATGCCTTATCAGACTATTGCTTTCTTTTCTTTTCTTTTTTTTTTTAAGGATTTTATTACTTATTTGACAGAGAGAGAGAGAGAGAGAGCACCAGCAGGGGAAGCGGCAGACAGAGGGAGAAACAGACAGGGAGCCTGATGCAGGACTCGATCCCAGGACCCTGGCAGATACTTAATGGACTGCCCCAGACTATTGCTTTAATTTTACCATTTATCTTGAAATTATTTCTATATTTCTAAGAACTTCTGTAGATGACTGTGGAAATAAATTAATGTTCTTTTTTTAAGATTTTTTATTTTTTATTCACGAGAGACACACAGAGAGAGGCCGAGACACAGGCAGAGGGAGAGGCAGGCTCCCTGTGGGGAGCCTGATGAGGGACTCAATCCCAGGACCCCGGGATCATGACCTGAGCCAAAGGCAGACACTCAACCACTGAGTCACCCAGGTGCCCCTAAATTCATGTTCTAATTTAATGTTTTCAAATTGCAAGGGCTTTTATACTTTTCTGGCTGAAACCTGCAGAGATTCTAGTAATCATGAAAAATTTGATTAGTAAAATTTATTAGTTTTCTCTTATACAACATTTTCTTTTTCAATGAATTTCAAAAGTGTCCTGCCAAATCCATTACATTGTGTCTCTATGTCCTGAATGCATAAAAACTTAATTTTGAATCTGGTTTATTTATTACATTTAGTACCAATTTAGAAAACATCACTCAGCAAGTATGGGTAGGTTTGCTATTCATTAATCCATTCAACAAAAATATTTGGTGTACCTACAATAAAAAAGGAATTTACTAGACACCAAAGGCATGTCAAGAAAATTACAGAGCCTAGAAGTCACCAAAGATAAATTTAAATGACTTACATTTTTCTTCCTGTGGTCAAATCTCTGGCCATGTTTACACAAAGGAAGCATGGATGATATAGCTCCAAACTAGCTTTTCAAACTCTAAGGTTCATTTCTCATAGCCAGAGACAGGTGAAGGGAACAAAAATATTTTTGAAGGGTGAGCTTACCTTCCCTGAAAGACCAGGCCAGGTCTCCCTGGCTAAAATTTCTAGCATAAAGTCATGATTTTGTAACTTTAACATTCAGGATAAAGACACACCTAGAAAGGCTGCTGAGTAGAAGGGGTTGGAGGCCGAGAAGCAAAGAGAGGAGACTCTCTAGAAGATTCTGAGCTTCCAGAGGGGATTTGATCCCTCTTGTGGCTGCTGCCCTTTCCTTTCCAGGCTATGTGCCAACACTGTGGTTTCCCTGGCTCTCTCCCCTCCTTGTCTTTCTTCCTTCTCCTGGAATACACATGCCCAGAGCAGAGGGAGTTGGCTTTCTCTTTGAAGAAGGTGCTTCAGAGGCCACTTGTGCTTCTTTCCAGACCTCTTTTTCTCCAGTTGAACATATCACCTTCCATAACTTCATCACCCAAACATCCTATCAAATCAAAGTAATGCTGGTTTCTTCAGCTGCCTCTATTCTTGAGTACAGTAAATACGCATACATACCTATGTTTTGCTTTGATTTTTTTCACATGTTTCTGAGCATCTGCATTTACATTTGAGGTATTTTCCCTATTAAGTTGTAAACTTCTATGATGCATTTGAAAGAGCACAGCGTGATTAGATCAGTGTGATTTTTTCCTTTCTGATTGGATTTGGTTTTTCTACAGAGTTCTGCCTCCTGATTTCAAACTATTTTCCATTTGCCAGAACTTCTCTCAATTTGGAACAAATCCAAACCTGTTTCCTCGGTCTCTTACTTGGTGTTGTACACCAAGAGGCATGCAATAAATACCTGTGGACTCCTAAATCTGAGCGGCTATTATCCAGAGGTTGGAGAGCAGCTGTTTCTGTCTCTAGACAGGATAGAAGAAGAGGAAACTGGCTGGAATGGTGGAGAAAGATTTAGGTTGGATACAAGGAACAGCTTAAACTTTGTCAGGTCTTGGGCATCCTGGGTGGCTCAGCGGTTAAGCATCTGCCTTCAGCCTAGGGCCTGATCCTGGAGACCCGGGATCGAGTCCCACATCGGGCTCCCTGCATGGAACCTGCTTCTCCCTCTGCCTGTGTCTCTGCCTCTCTCTCTATGTCTCTCATGAATAAATAAATTCTTAAAAAAAAAAAAAAGCTTTGTCAGGTCTTGACTGGAGATTGTGGAGTCTTCCTTGAAGACAGGTTGTTGGGGAGTGGGGAACTAACCCCGCCAGATAGCTTCAGTTACTCCATTCAGGAGTGGGGAGGGGGAGGCAAGTATTGCCATTCCACTGGTGAGTCAGACCATTGACTATGCCTCCAGAAACGGAATCAGAGTCCATTCCTTGGACAGGAAACCACTGTCCCTGTAAAAATAATAGCTACCATTTACTGTGTGCAAAACACTTCATATCCATTTCATCCAAATCCTATGATAATTCTTCGAGCTAGATATTATCCCCATTTCAAAGCTGAGGAAACAGAGACACAGTGGGTAAATAACTTGCCCACAGCCATACAGCTGGCAAGTGGTGAAGCAAAGACTGAACCCCAGATCCCTTTGAACCCAAACACTGTACCCCTATCACTGCATGGTACAGAATCCTTTAGGGAAATATCCGATGTTAGCAAGGTAACCAGTAGGCAGTCTCAGATCAGTGGAGAATATTTGGCATTATAATTTGCAGCTTCAGAAATGCTAAAAACGATGTATGGCACTAACCTGGATAATCTTACTTGACTTGGGTCACAATTTCTTTTTTTAAAAAATATTTTTATTCATGAGAGGCACAGAGAGAGAGGCAGAGACACAGAGGGGGAAGCAGGCTCTCTGCAGAGAGCCCGATGGGGAACCCTATCCCAGGACCCCAGGATCTCACTCTGAGCGAAAGGCAGATGCTCAACTTCTGAGCCACCCAGATGCCCCCACAATTTTCTACATGATAGCTTTTCACCAAAAGCTTGTCAGCTGACTCCCAAGAGCTAAGTAAGTACTATTAGGATATGGAGGACAATCCGTACAAATCAAATAACTAAAACAATACTCACTGAATGGTATCAGAATTTAAGACTACAGTTTGCTTTGTATCCATGTGTAGACATCGACTTCCGAGTATGTATCTATGTCGTTTTCTAGGGAGCTTGTTGTTTCATTCAAGGAGTGATTAAATAGCATCTAGTTCAATCCAGTTCAGTCTTTTAGAAGATTGTTGAATGTATTTGATGAATTAATTTGGTAACTTTTGGTAATATTGTCTTTGGAAATATTTGTACTTCTAAGGAATTAAATCAGAATCAGATAGGGTTAACTGCGAAGTGTCCATACTAACTAATTTATTTCTGATCCTTTTGTGCTTTGTTACATATGTTGGTTTCTATGTTGACTTTTCAATCTAGAAAATAGATTGAAAAAAATCTAGACCTCATAGCACTGTAGAGGTTTAACTGCCTATGGAATAACTGAATGAATGGAATAGAACAAATGCCAAAGACCCTGGGTGGTTTGATTAATCAAACAAAATAAGCCTCCACCCAAATGACTGAAAAGAATAATCACCCAGTAAATACTTTCTAAAACATTTGGTGCTAAATAGGAATTAAGCTAATAATTGTCATCTTGCTTCTAAAAATATTGACAGTGGCCCTGGAAAGGATTTGGAGCATTAAAAGGAATCTCCCTGTGGGCAGCTTGAAGCCAGGACTGCCGAGCAGAAACAGTTTGCTGCCGCAAACCACGTACTATTCGAGGCATGGAGGGCTAAGAAGTAAGATCCTGATACTCTTGATTTCTGCTGAAAGCCTTGAGTGTGCCGATTAGCTCCCAGACCAGGGGTACATGCTTTATTTCAAGTGCTTGGTCAAGATGCAGTCTTCTTTTGATTTGCTTCTCTGGAGTTACTTTTAGCTTTAGCCACATTACCTCCTTATGGAACTCAAACAGTTAACAGTTCAGCAAAGTAAATTACCCCAAGGATACAATAGACGTTTATGCTCTTTGAGTTACACTCTGGACTCTACTTTTTATGCAGGGAAGCCTTTCTGGCACACAGCCAGCCTGGGTGGGGAGAGACCTTGCATCTTCCCTCCCCCCCATCTTTGCTTACCAATGGAAACGAGGAAAGGAAGATGAGGGAAGTAAGGAAGAATCAGGCAACTACTTTGCCTGGCTCCCTTAGTTTCTCCCTATTTGAGGTAAAAGGCCACCCACCTGGGCCCAGTGCACTGTTCCTCACAGACTTGAAGATGGGAACAAAATATTATTCATTCCTCACTGTCATAACTAGTGTCTGCCAGGAAATTGGTGGCAGGATGTGGAGAAAGTGGGGGTCTTGGCATGGAAGCATAAGCAGTGTCCAGATGCTCTAGGGACCTGATATACGAATCCTTGAAGTAGCTCTACAAGTGGGAGGTTACCCTAGGATGAAAAGCGAGAAGTGGGTAAATATCAAGTGTGGGTAATTTTACCAAAGAAGTGACACATAATAGCAAATGCTTTATTGTACTTATTGTTCCAGATTCTTCATGTATAATAATCCCTTTAATCATAACAACAATCACATGAAACAGATACAATTCATTTTATTCTTTTTAATATTTATTTATTTGTTTATTTTTTATTTATTCATTCATTCATTCATTCATTCATGAGAGACACACAGAGGCAGAGACATAAAAAGAGGGAGAAGCAGGCTCCTCACAGGGAGCCCTATGTGGGACTTGATACCCCAACCGGGGATCACGCCCAGAGCCTAAGGCAGACACTCAACCACTGAGCTATCCAGGCATCCCTATACAGTTCATTTTATAGATCAGGAAACTGAGGTACAGAAAGGCTGAACAATTTACCCAGATGCATGTTCTGAGATTGGGACCCAGACAGCCAGTCTCCAGTGGCTTTTAACCACTAGATATTATTGCCTCTATGAGCCAAACTGTGCCTGAGAGCTGGGGGTGTCTGTTGAGCCTAGAATGAGGTGAGGGCTCCGAAAAAGTGGCACACAGAAGGGTCTCCTGGCAGGCAGCCTCTAGGATATGAATTCAGTAGGGAGAAAATATAGTCACTAAGAGGCTGAGACACAAAGTCAAAGAAAAAAACAAAACAAAACAAGAACTTATTACTAAAGGGGATTCATGTAGCAAAGAGGAACCAGTATGGAGATTTGGATTCAATAATAAAGTAGTAGCGGCCACCTCTTACCATGTGCCAGGCACAACAGTAAGTGTTCTATATAGCTCTGTAATCCACATGATCACATAAAATGAGAGTTTTAATCTCCATTTTCCCAGTGAGGAAACTGAGGCATAGAGACACTACATTACTCAAGATCCTGTGCCTAGGAGGCAGTAAGACCAGAACTACAAACCTGTGTCTGTCTGACTTCTGAGACGATGATTTAACCCCTGGGTCATCATGGCAGAGAATCCAGTCCCTGGACAAAAAGGGTGGAACCAGTGTTTGTGGTCACTTACCTGGCACAGGGTTGAGGGATGAGGATTTAGAACGATCTTGGGAGATGACTACACTCAAAATCCACAAAGATAGCAGTGTCCTGAAGTAATGGTTGATTCAACTCAAGTCTGGGCTTCTTGCCCATTGGGGACTGTTTATTTCAACTTTCCACCCAATTTGTCAGGTTCTATTTATAGTGGGTAAATGCATCATTGCAAGAAAACTCACAAAGCAATTCATTTTAAAAATGAATTATTTTTAAATGTATTATAAGACTGGTTTGAAGAACAAATTACTTTTCATTTGAATACATAAAAGTCCAGTAGATGACCGAATTCTTCAGGTGGGGACATATAATCTAAAAAACTTTGACCATAATTGCATTATTTTCATCCATACAATTTAGGAGAGGCCTGTTCATTGCTCCCACTCATTTTCACTCATCCACACTAGCAGCCTCTAGGCCTCTATCTACAGCCCATGTCAAGCACCTTCAGTGATCATGTTATAAAAAAATTTTTTTTGAGAGACAGAGAATGTACACCCAGCACAGAGCCAATGCAGGGCTCAATCTCACTACCCTGAGATCATAACCTGAGCTGAAATCAAGGGTTGGATGCTCAACTGTCTGAACCATCCAGGTGCTCCAACAGTAATTATGTTACAATATATGTTGTATATTATGTTGTATAACAACATATGTTATATATGTTACAATATATAACTGCTCTAGTTACATATCTTAGCTTCATTTCTCTTCAGCTGCATTTTGCCATATGCACTCCAACTATCTGCACAAATCACAACTGATCAATCTACGTGAATCAGATTGATAATGAAGAATTAGACTTTTCTCATTATCAATAAAAAAGGTAGATGCAAGGCACAGATACATTATAGATGAGCAAGGTCCACAGATAATTTTTAAAAATCGATCAGGAGTAATTCATGCACTATCAGAAAATCCATGGAAGCATGAACCATGTCTTTTTCGCTAACCACCATACACTTAGCATGGTACTCAATCACTTTTTGTCCAGAAAGTATATGTTGGCTGCCTACTACATATTCAGAATCATCTTACTGCTAATGCACGTAAGTCTCTCCCTCCACAAGAGTATACAGTTTTCCCTACTTGAATCTGCTAAATAGACTGCAAACAATAGTGGAAAAAAAGCAATGGAACCTATTGATTTTAGTGTGTCAATCATGAAAAGTTGCATATATTTCATATACATCTTAGAACTGATGCTTTCAAAGACAGATTTTCCATGGATTAGAATATTTCCAGGAACTTCTCCCATAAAGTATACTTCCTTTAGATGACTCAGCCAGTCTCAGGGCCATCTTTTTCCTATTCACTTGTGCATTTTTTTTTCTCTTTCTCATGAACAACACAGTCATTGTAGTTGTGACTCTTCCAACATTTAATACACATTATTTAAAGTTTAAATTTAGAATCATCCAATTTTAGTTCTAAAACATGTTTCTCTTAGAAACTGTGAAGCATCCACAATCTTCATCATACTAACAAGTTTTATTCCTTTTATCATTTCCTTCTTGTTCTGTGGCATATAACAACAACTGAAGTTGTCTAGCCCAGTACTTCTCAAGCTTTAATGTGCCTACAAATGACATGGGTATCTTACTAAAATTTGGATTCTGATATAGTAGGTCTGGAGTGGGGTCTGGAATTCTGTGTTTCTTTTTCTTTCTTTCTTTTTTTTTAACTTTGTTTACTTGAGAAAGAGCATGTGCATGCATGCATGCTTACACAAGTGAGGGAAGGGCAGAGGGAGAGAGAATCTCAAGAAGGCTCCCCGCTGAGTATAGAACTCCACACAGGGCTTGCTCTCACAAACCATGAGATCATGACCTGAGCTGAAATCAAAAGTTGGATGCTCAACCAACTGAGCCACCCAGACACCCCTGGTATTCTACTTTTCTAACTAGCTCCCAGGTGATGCCAATGCTACTGGTTAGGACACTCACTACTCTGAGCAACAAGGGTCTGGAAGACTGAGCAGCCAGTCCAGAGTTACCTGCTTTTATATTTTGCTCTACCAAATGAAGTACTGTTGGGAACATTAAATCAGATTTAGATTAAAATGGGGTTGGGATTACTTCCCCTGGGGCACCAGGATGGCTCAGTGGTTGAGCATCTGCCTTTGGCTCAGATCCTGATCCCGGGGTCCTGGTATTGAGTCCCGCATTGGATTCCCCACAGGGAGCCTGCTTCTCCCACTGCCTGTGTCTCTGCCTCTCTCTCTGTGTCTCTTATGAATAAATAAATAAAATCTTTAAAAAAAATTAAGAGCATTTCCCTAAAGTAAACACTTACTTATTCACTATTTTCTTTAGGATAAGATGAATACATTTTTCCATTGAGAAGAAACCTCATTCTCCTGATGTCTGCAAATCAGAAAACCCAAGCTTGTTTCACAGTTTAAGATGTGTTAAAAAAATGTATATTCTTATTATTGGTATTAATTCTTATGTATAAATTAATCCAGGGCAATAAAAGACTTGGTAAAGTTTGCTAAGCACCTGGAAACAATGAAGAAGAATATTATATGTATTTTTAGTTAACACATTTGGAATACATTGGGTTTCTAATTCAGCATATTTTATTAAATATGTGAAACATAAAACAAAGGCATGTGTATTGAGTCTTTACTTCAAGGTAAGCATTATAAACCTTAATCCTTCACTATAGTATAGTTATGTTCATCCACTGGAAAAAAAAAAACAATAACAAACAGATGCCTGGCTGGCTCCATTGGTAGAGCATGCAACTCTTGATCTTAGGGCTAGGAGTTCAAGTCCCATGTTGGGTGAGGAGCCTACTTAATTACTACAACAACAACAATTTATTTACAAGTTTATTTATTGACAGTGTTCTTACAAATAAATAAATTACTAAATGAATGATGTAAATGAAAAGTTCCTAACTCAGAGGCAACCATTTTAATGATAGTTTTGGTAGAGTTCAACTTTCTCGAGAATTTGTCCAGTAGATAGAAAGTAGCCAGGAAATTTATGGAGATCTAAAAAAGGATTTTTACTAATACTACTGAGTTAAACAGAGGTTAAGAGGAAGGGGAAAAAATTCTCCCCCATCCTTTGTCAAAAGTAATATTTATGTAGTATAGAAAAGCTGGGAAACAGAAATGTAAAGGAAAAAATATCTAGAATTTGAGTCCCCGAAACAACCATTGATAACATGTTGATATGTTTTTATTCTTTTTTCCTTGCATATGTTTTATTTTACATGTTTGAGATCACTCTGTACAGTATATACATTTATTATCCCTTTTAACATAACATCATACAATTTCCCATTCATTAAAATATAACTTTTTTTTTTGGTTGAAGTAAAGTTGATACACCATGTTACATTAGTTTCAGGTGTACAGTATGAGTGATTGCACAACTCTATACATTATGCTAAGCTCACCACAAATGTAGCTACCATCTGTCACCATGCAACAGTGTTACAATACCATTGGCTATATTTTCTATGCTGTACCTTTCACCCTGTGACTTACTTATTGCATCACTAGAAACCTGTACCTTCCATTCCTCTTCTTCCATTTGCCCATCCTCCCCACTGGCAACCACTAATTTCTTCCTTGTGTTTACACACTTATTTTTGCTTTATTTGTTTTTTATATTCTACATATAAGTGAAATCATACAGTATTTGTCTTTCTCTATTTTACTTAGTATAATGTCCTTTATGTCCATCCATTTTGTCACAATGACAAGATCTCATTCTTTTTTATGACTAGTATTTCATTGTGTACATATACCACATCTTCTTCATCCGTTCATCTGCCAATGGACACTTAAGTTGCTTTCCTATCTTGGTTATTGTAAATAATGCTGCAATAAACAAGGGGTGTTTCTGAACTCTGAACTCTGTTTCTGGACTCTGAAGAGCTCCATGATACTAATGAGACACCTCTTAATGGATGCTCAGATCTTGCCCTACCATCAATTGCTGGAGGTGCTGCTAAGAGGTCAAAGGGGGGCGGCCCTGGTGGCGCAGCGGTTTAGTCCCTCCTGCAGCCCAGGGTGATCCTGGAGACCCAGGATCGAGTCCCACATCGGGTTCCTTGCATGGAGCCTGCTTCTCCCTCCGCCTGTGTCTCTGCCTCTCTCTCTGTGTGTCTCTCATGAATAAATAAAATATTAAAAAAAAAAAAGAGGTCAAAGGGAATGAATGCCTCTTAAAGGATTTTACAGTCATTGCCAAGTTCCTGACCTTCCAGACCATCAAACCCACTTGCTGCTGGAGGTTGTGAGTGTCCTCTCTGAACCTGGGTACCATGTCTTCTCAAAGCTTTGCCGTGATGCCCCAAATACCAAAAATTGGAATAAAGACAGGATCCAGCCCTGCGGGTGACCTTATTCACTCCACCTGACAAAACACAAAACAAAACAAAACAAAACAAAAAAAACGGTGTTTTTTTTTGTTTGTTTTGTTTTTTTTGTGGTCAGCAACAGGGTGCCTTTAATAGAGTCTTCAGGCCGACCTCCCCCCACTTCCTGCCCGCCCCCCCTCGACACCGGGCTCTCTGAGGTTTCATTCCACAGATCTGCAGCAGATGAGATACTTCACATGAGACACAGCACCGCTGACGTTGAAGACGAAGGGGCCCTACTCCTACTTTAAGAGTGTAAGGCTTTGGACTTCCCCGGCCACATGCAATAAAGCAAGTTTTATATACACTCCCCATAAATCTTTTTCTAACATTTTCTTATATAAATTTAAATATTTTACAAAAAAAGGCTTTTCCTCCAAACATAGAAATTTGAGTGAAACATATATTCCCTACCTGTGAACTTGTTTCTTCACTAAAATATACAGGCTATCTGATATTAAGGGTAAGTGTCTTTTGACTGCTGGAGATGACTGAAGTCTGAACTGCACCGCGGAGAAGGCACTTACGTTTCCGAGGTCTCCAGTCACGTCATCGTATTGGGCACTCACAGAGCTGCTGTCCTCCAGAACCTGTACCAAGGCCTCCGAGTGCCCAGTCACTGAGGCAGCTGGGGAAACATGGTGAGTAAACTTGATTCTAAAATTATGGCATAAAAAATAAAAACAGCACGGACCAGTTCTCAGTCTAGAATCTAGGGGCTAGTGGACCATCCCCTGCCCGGATCCTCTCTCTCCACAGACTTTGGCAGCTGGCAGATGGTAACAGGCTGTGGCAGTATTCAGGAACGGGCTGTCCTGCACACAGACTCCTCTCTCCCTTTCAGCTTCCCGGATGAGCTCCCTAACAGTTGTCTGCTTGCAGCCCTAAGTGAGCGGGAGACACGGCTGCAGGAAGTAGCTCCACTTTCTTGGCCGCATCCAGCAGCACAGTGGGGCTTCGAGCAGCAGCCCCCAGTCCCTCTGGTGCCATTGGAGGCCTACTGGAGCAGTTTGTCCCTGGTGTTGGACTCCGGGGCACCAGCAGCAGCACCTTATGAAGTAGCCAGCCCACAACAATTTCCTGCTCCTCTCACCTGAGCCCTGAGCGGAATCAAAGCCATGCCTGGACAAGGGGTGCTTCAAGATAGGAGGGAAATCTTCTCACTCCTCCTTCTCCATCATGCACATGGCAGCCCCAAAGCCGAGCAGGGCTAAGGACAGGGTTCTCCAACCCCCAGCTTCCTGACTGGTGACCACCACCCCTCTTGTCATTCATTGCCTTTCACCCACCCTCGGCTTTGTTGGGATTCCCATCAATTCTCAGAACTGTGTGGGGTTTCCCTGGGGCCTTGTGGGGGCTGAGACCTCATGAAAGACTCCCCTCTTCCCATTCTTGTTTCCTGGAGAGGAGGGATCACCTGCACTGAGAATGAGTTTGACACAGATCACAAAATAAAAATCTTTTTGAACTAAAAAAAAAAAAAAACAAGGGGGTAATCTTTTCAAATTAGTGTTTTCTAAAATAGAATTTTACATAATTATATTTTAAAATATGCACTAAATTTTTGAATTTATCACTCTACTCTGGACATTTGAGTTTTTCCAGTCTTTCATTTTATACATAACTGTCATAATACTTATTCCTGCCCCCTTAAAAAATTATTTTTTCCAGTATTCTGGTTATACACCTTTTGTTTTCCTTCCTTTTCTAGGCTAAACTCCTTTTAAAACTTTTTTTCAGATTGAAAGTTCATTTCTCAGTTTTAATGTAATAAATCAAGTGAAGTCAACAAAGATTTGTTGACTGGGTATGTCCTTTCCCCTACTTAAAAATATTTACACTGTGAAATAGTCAATAATCTCTTAAGTCAAGATCCAAACTTTTCCAGATTTAATATAAAAATTTCCATTCAGCAAATGCACACTAGATATTCTACACATAAACCAATTCCAGCCACCAACACGTTTACGGAGCTCTCTCATCACTGGCTACTTCAAAAATGGTGTTATGGGCCAGTGGCTAAAACTGGACAGATTACATTTTAAATTAGTCAAGAAATATAATACTCTAAACCACCTGGAGTCAGGGAAAGCATTCACTTTTCTTATATATCTAACATCTCAACCTTCTAAAAATTCTTGCCATCATCATTTTTGCATGTTTGCTAAGATGCCACACAAAAAGTGTAGTGGCTGGGGAGTATAACTGTTATTCATCTGTTAGAAACGATGTCCTGTAAAAAAAAAAAAAAAAAAAAAAAGAAAGAAACGATGTCCTGTTTGCACTTGAACTCCCAGTGTGGTTTTCAAGCTCGTACACAGGGATTTCCTTCCTCACTTCTACTCTCCTGCTGTCCAATAAACAAACTCCCCCTTGTTTCTTCTAAACCTTGAGGCCCAGGCTGGTGCTCTGCTTGAGCCTCCCACTTCCTGATCAGCTGCTAACACCACCAAGAACTAATCATATGGCTGTTTCCTTACTAGGGTTTCTGCCCTTATTTTACTAGGGGGTCCTGGTTCCTTTTGTGGTTAAATTCTCTTCCTCATTGCCCCCATTGTGCATCTTCCCAAATGGATTCCTGTACAGAGTTTTTCATGCCAGCATTATGTATAAGAGTGAATAAGTGAAACCATCTAAATGCCAAATACAGGAGATGATTTAAAAAATATTATATGAGGGGTTCCTGGGTGGCTCAGTCAGTTAAATGTCTGCCTTCAGCTCAGATCATGGTCTGTGGGTCCTGGGATCAAGCCCCAGTGGTCAGGCTCCCTGTCCTCTGCTTGCTCTCTCTCAAATAAATAAATAAAATATTTTTAAAAAATAAAAAATTATTACATGATACAGCTGTTTTTTTAATTCAATAAGCATCTTTCTAAATAAAAACTTTTTGAAAACCAAAATTACAAGGACTTTTTAAATATTTTTAAAGATTTTATTTATTCATGAAACAGAGAGAGAGAGAGACAGAGGCAGAGACATAGGCAGAGGGAGCCCGATGTAGGACTCGATCCCAGGACCCTGGGATCACACCCTGAGCCAAAGGCAGATGCTCAACCACTGAGCCACCCAGGCTTCCCTACAAGGACACTTTTTTAAAGTGATAGAAATTTATAACCATCTTAAATCAATAGCCATTTTAATACTTTTTAAAAGATTTTATTTTTAAGTGATCTCTACATCCAGTGTGGGGCTTAAAGTCCAACCCTGAGATCAAGAGTTG